GGTACTCAATTTATATCTATTATATAAAGCGGGAGTTTTGTTTTTTTTGTTTGAACGCGCTAATCTCCGTAACTACAAGTCTGATTTGAATAATTCTTTTTGTGTTGGATAGCGCATTTATCGAGGATGGCTATAGGCTATAGAACGTCACGCTACGACCAATAGGAGCTGAACAGAGCGTGTGAAACCGCGCGGAAGTAGCTAGTGTATTATAACTTTCGTGAGACATACTACTTAAATAAATTATTATGTTTTCGGCTTACTCACGTAATTATCCTAGAGCATGGCTTGAAACTAGACGAGTTCCTCGTCAAATAATTAAGTGAGCAAGCCGAAAACATAATAATTTACTCAATTTATAATTTTATTTCTCACTACCTGTACTTGCAGACTTCATCCGCGTATAATACGATTCCTATTTTATCCCATGGGAGCATTTAATCGGGATAAAAAGTATCCTATCACCTAAGTCAGCCCAAACCCTGCCCTCATACCAAATTTCATCAAAATCCGTTTAGTAGTTTCAGCTTGATTGACGGACAAACATCCAAAGAAAGAAACATTTACAATAAGTACACAGCAAAACCACATAAAAAAAGTTCAGCACTTTTTGAGTTTATCGCGATCAGACTCGATAATACCTCTAGAACAGATCGAAGACTACCTCTTCTGAAATATTTTGTATTGTACAGTAAGGCAGTAAACGAGCACACAGATGGAGCCGTCCATGGACAGCACAACATCAGAGGAGGTACAAGAGCGACGACGCCGAACCTTTAAGGGATTACGGATCGGACAGGATTGGCCATCCGGTAATCTCAATCACACGACGCAAGCGAGTCTTTTGAAAGCTTAAAACCCCTCATAAGAACAGCAAAAAACAGTCACATAACAAAACAAATATAACCTAAAAATGTCCACAATTACACAATTGAAACCGCACCGATTCTCTATCAACACGACAGCCACTTAACATGATTTTACATGTTACATGGACAATTCTAAGGTCTCGCTCACAATAGAGCGAAATCACAAAAATATTATTAGCCAGCAAATATCTTATGGCTGTTCCAAGTCTCATACAAAACCAGATAGATGTTCACTTCCAACCAGACAATCCAGATGTTATTGGGGGAGATTTTTTTTTTAATTTGTTGGGCCATCGTTTGACCACTATCTCGCCTGGCGGTAAGCGATGATGCGGTCTACGGTGGAGCACGTCGTCCCATAAGCAACCTATTCACTCGGGCCTTGGAGACTCCCAGGTATATATGTAATACCCTTCAGGAAATACAGTCTCATGCAAAGAATTCCACTCGTTAGCAGTACGCACAAGGAAGCTTGATAAAGCTCGACTTGATAGAATGGATAGAGCCTTAACTTTAATCGTAGCAGCATTAAACAGCCCAATAATGAAAAAAAACATGAGTCTACCAATATGAACTACTGCTTACACAGTCCACAGGCGACTCCTTATCTCAACAAGGTCAAACCAACATCAGTTCGCTAAAATATCACCAACAGGTATTATGTCGTAATTATTTTAGACGATAGTAAAGATAATTTCGACTTGCTATGTGAATCCATTCATAAACACGTTGATAAATATCAGGTCTAAGTGAAAATGGGGTTTATTTTGTTAGAACTACGAGTTATTTTCGTAAATGTATTCGACATTTTTTATGGAATAAGCCGGTAAACGAGCAAACGGATCACCTGATGGTAAGCAATCGACGTCGCCCATGGACACTTAGAACACCAGAGGCGTTACAGGTGCGTTACCGGCCTTTTGGGGATTGGGAATACTGAAGAGTGGAGAAATTGGACCACCTCCGGTTACCGATAAACAGTTATCGTGTATCGTATGATAAGGGTGAGTTTATGGTTGTACACCGGGAACAATTTTAAAACTTCCATGCTTATTTTAGGAATCATCTAACAACCGAACAAATACCGAATAACACTATACACTCGCTCAACGAGGCAGTTTGGCAAAAATAGTATAAATAACTATAAATTATCTGAAACTGAAATATACCAAGGAAAAACGTGTTATAGATAAAAATACCAAGCAAGCCATAAAATTACGCAAACACCGTACTATTCTAGACTCCATACTATAAAAGATTTCGAAATAAAACATTCTTCATAATCATCATCATCAACAGCCTATAAATGGCCACTGCTGACCAAAGGCCTCTACTCACACGGAGAAGGTTTGAACATTAATCACCACGCTTGCTGAATGCGGGTTGGCGATTACAAACTTATAATTAGAAATTATAAGCCCAGGTTTCCTCACGATGTTTTCCTTCACCGTTTATCAGTGGTGTCTGAATAATCTTAGAAAGTACATATAACTCGGAAAAAGTCACATTAGTACTTGCCGTTGGTAGGTTTCAAACCCGCACCCTCATGCATGAGAAGCGGGCGTCTTAAACCTCCGGGCCACCACGATATATACATGGGAATAAAATACGACGAAAAAAGTCACAATTGTTGAGCTCCAGGGTGCTTACTCTTGAATCCAATTTCGATCGATCGACATTGGTATTGCGAAATTTCGTACTCTTGAGTTGCAATACTAGCGCCCATTGCATCCGTATTGCATGGATATTGAATGAACTAAATGGTATTGAGTTTGGCTTTATATCCTGTACTCTAAATGCTATATTAACAGCTACGATTGTGGTTGTATAGTTTTGACATTGAATAATTATTGAGATTTTATTGGATTAAAATTGCATTGACATTGAGATTGGTTTCAAGAGTAAGCACCCTGCTCACTAGGAACGATCACTCGCCTGGTCGGAGGATCCTCCTTTTCCGATCTTCGGGAACTGTACTTACTGTACCTTCAAGTGATATAGGCTACTTTTTCCTTTGACCACGTCTTTTTGGTTAGGGGATGAGGGGGGAGGAGATGGCAAAGGAGCAGATGGATCACCTGAGTAAGCAAACGGCGCCACGCATAGACATCTGGGACACCACAGGCATTACAAGTGCGTTACAGCCCTTTTGCGGATTAGGGATTTAAGGATTGTTGGCGATTGGGGAGGGGGTAATTAGGTCCTCCGGTAACCTTACTCATACGACGAAAGACAACGCCAGCGTTGCTTCACGTAGGTTTTCTGTGAGGCCGTGGTATCATCATTCCGGTCAACCGGGCCACCAAACGCAAGCACAGCCGCGAGAAGAGAGTTAGTTCAGAAACAAATTACAAATACATGAAAACAACACATTACAACTCACAGTTCATCAAGTGTTATCATAAAACGGAAGCTTGCGCACGAGTTGATAAGTTGAAATAATAATAATAAGTACACCCAACACCCAACATACATACATACATATAAAAAGTTAGTATTATTATGATTCATGGCTACATTACATTGATAACATTAACGGTCAAATCGTTAGATTTTTCTGTTCGAACGAATGTGATACACATCTACATTTTGGAAGAACCACCACTTTTTATTTAGCTTGTCTCATAAGTTCGTTTGGGTAAAATTTAGCAAGTGTAAAATGTGGGAGAGCCGTGTTTCAGCATAAATGGGCCGGCTCGACCGGAGTGATACCACGGCCTTACAGAAAACCGACGCGAAACAACGCTAGCGTTGTCGTCGTGAAAATAAGGTTACCAGAGACCCAATTAGTCCCCCACAATCCTCAAATTCCCAATTCCCAAAAGGCCGGTAGCGCACTTGTAACACCTCTGGAGTTTCAGGTGTCCATGGGCGACGCCGATTGCTTACCGGTGATCCGTCTGCTCGTTTACCGCCTAACCCCTATAAAAAAAAATCTATTTCTCCTGGAAGGCTAGAACAAGTCGCACTACGATCAACACGAGCCAAGCAGCGGATGAAACCGCGCAGCAGCATATTCTTAATATGAATTTAAGTAAATCTAGT